CTCTGCGATGCCACCCCCAGGGACCAGAGGATGCAGTTGTTGCTGAAGGGCTGCACAGCACAGCTCTGCCCCTCTGCTTATAGGAAAGCTGGAAATGTGACCGGAGTGTGGAGAGCTGCAGGAGGAGCCCATGCTGAGGAGCACTTTGCTAATTGCCCTGAGCTCTTCCTTTGAGGACTTCGAGGCTTTTTGGTGAGGGTCCCTTCCTGGGTTGCAGTGTGGGCTGATGGGCAGCTCAGGCTCCAGCCGCTGGCTTCCAGACCTCTTTATTTGAGCTGAACGTTTGGTAGCAGCTTTGCTCCCGTGATAAACAGAGGAATGAAAGACCTTTAGCGATCCTGAAGACCTTTCTAAGTGAAAAACCTCCCCACGAAATCCCTCACGTGCTGCTCCGGATGCGCTCATCTCCCAACCTTAGCATCCATCCCCGGCAGCTCCACACCTCGCCTGCAGGCAGAGCATCTTCGTGCTGCATGGATAACAGCCCGCTTTGTGCCAACCTGCAGCGGCACTCGCTGCCAATTAGCAGCTCCCACTTGAGCTGTGCGGTGAGAGGAGGATTTGCTGAGCAAAGAACAATAAGAGAGGAGTGATGCCGGCGCTGGGGAGGCTTCACTCGCCCTCTCCCGTAGGTGAATTAACCTGGCGTGTGCAAAGGGACCGTAATGTTAGAATGTAAAGCAGCGTTAGAATGGAAGTCAGCCTATTAAATATCAAAGGGAGCTGGAGGAGCTGGATGGGGATGTGCCCTCGTTAAGCGGGAGCCATCATCTGGGGAAAGAGGGATGGAGCCCTCGGGCAACAAAATCCATGTTTGAAGTCCCCCAAGCTCACTGCTCTCAGCGCATTAAAATGGTTTCTATTTTGCTGGAGGAGAAAACGAGGCTGGAAGCACAAAGTGGGGAGGGGGGGGGGGAGGGACGCTGGAGGAGCTGGGAGGGTGAGATTCTGTGCCCTTCATTTGTCTCCCCGGATTTATCGTCTCTCTCGTGGTGCCTTCACTTAATTGTCTATCTTGAAAGACCTTGGATAAATCTTCCCTTTGGGGACTGTTGCTCTCGCTCGGAGTCTGCTTTGTCGGGCGGATGTTTCATTTCCTTTTATTTATAAATACGTCTCATTGCACGGAATTAACGTGGCGGGGCATGAAAGGAGCTCAGGGAGAGCTCAGTTCCCCACTCAGCTCTATTCAGAAAATGCATTGAAAGCAGTGTCAAAATGCAACTGCTGGCACCACGGGGCTCATCTGCGCCCTTCTCTGCTTAGAGCTGCAGCATCCGCCCCGATTTGGTTCTACACGAGGGATGAGGAATTGCCCAAACGCTGTGAAATCTGTGCCTGGGGATCACGTTTCCCACTGGGTCCCATTGCTGGGGTGGGTAAGTTCTGTGATCCCAGTGCAGGATGCTGCCCATCCAGAGCATTGCATGGCTTCGGGCTGAAAACACATTGCTCTGGGTGTGCTGGTTATGATGGGGAAAAATATTCCATGCATGTGGAGCGCTCCCCAAAGCTCTGAAGCCCCAAAGCTCAGCCCATGGACTCCGTCACCAAGTCGGAACGGCCTCAGGTTCGTGCTGAGCCCCAAAGCAAGCAGTTCTATGTCCAAACCCACAGCTGTGGGAGCTGCAGAGGGGCAGTGCTGGCGCAGCAGCCCATGGCACAGCTGTGTGCTCTCACACACAGCATCTGCCAGGCGGTAATTAAGCAGAAAGCGAAACCAAAAGGCTGGGGTGGGATGAATTTTGGGATGTGTTGTTGCTCCAAAAGGGTTTTGTTGCTCCTTGCTCCTGCAGGCAGCGTGGGGTGAGCTCAGGGGATGAATTGTTCCTCCAAGGGCTGCAGTTCTCTCCTATGAGCACAGAGCCTGCGTGGCATTGCCGTGGCATCTTTAGGATGGTGCCTTGAGGGTTTTGGGGAGCAGCTGCTGCCCCACATGAGGGATGTCACAGCCCAAACCCCAGGGCTCAGCTCAGCGACAGCTTTACCCCTGAGCCACGTGTGGGTGTCGTGAAGGGGCAGAGCCCACAATGAGCCCCACATGAGCCGGGTTTGGCAGCCAAGGTGTGACAGCATCCTTCTTTGGAGCCATGGGAGAGACACAAGGACAGGTCTCCATTCATTTCACTGCTAGAAAAGCTTCTCCCCAGAAAAAAAAACCAAACCAAACCAACCAAACAAAAAAAACCCCAACCCTTCCACCTTTCTATTAAAGTCGGAAGGAGCCAACAGCTGCCTCTCCATCACCAGGCAGGAGTCCTTAAAGTGAAAGCAGCGCTCCAATCACAGCCAGCCCTGCCCACACCGCAGTGCTGCTGCGTCCCAATCCCACTCGCTGCCTCTCAGCTGTGTTCACTTAGCTCGGAGGAATCCCTTTGAACGGAGCCCGGATTTCATCCCCAAAGTCACCGCAGCACACCTGGGAGCTGAGGGAGATGTGCTTTTCTATGCACTGCGATGCATTCATGCATTGGTGGGAGGGCAGCCCCGTGGTTCCCAGTGCTCCGTGCTGGAATGAAGCCCCTGGGAAGCCTGGAAGACCCCATCATCTGAGCTCTGCCAACGTCCCAACCTATTTCCTAATGGTAAACCCACAGCTCAGAGCAATGGGACTGCTCACTGCTCATGCTTTGGGGTTATTGTTCCCTCTGCGTCCCTTCTGCCAGCCTCAAATGCAGCCCTGAGCCCAACACCACGCTGCAGCCATCCCTGCAGCCATCCCTGCAGCCATCCCACTGCCATCCCACTGCCATCCCACTGCCATCCCACTGCCATCCCTGCTCCCAGCCCTGCAGATCAGCTCAGCCAGTGGCAGGATGCATCACGCTGCAAGGGCAGGATACGGTGCAGGTGTGATTTATTCCTCTCCAAGCTCTGCAGAGCCAAAAGGCTCAGCCACTGTGCAAGGAGAAAATCGGGGAGCAAATTGGGGAGGAAGGAGCTCTGCCCATCCCAGAACCTTAGGGCAGCACCACGGCTCTGCAGACCCCCCTGCGTACGGAGGTCCCCTCTGGTGTCACCGCTTTTGGGCACTGGGTTGGAGAGGGGATGGATCATCATGGGGCAGTGCTGCCTTCCCTGTGAGGATGCTCAGCTGCTTTCCTCCTCACTGCACTCCCACAGAGGTGTGTTGGGGTTAAAGCTGCAGCCCTCACCCATTCGCTCCCAGGATCAGCTGCGGGTGCATTTCCCTCACAAGGGCACAGCTGGCAATACAAAACACCCACATAGGAGCTGGCAACCAAAGCTGGATCCCCACTGCCACGGGGGTTGCACAACCCTACAGTGACCTTGGGCTGACCCCATATCTCCCCACAGGACCCCAGGAGCCGACAACCTCCCCCCCATCTGCAGCTCCCTGGCAGCCCCTTCCCACCCAGCATGTGGGGTTGAGACCCAACCCAGGAGCTGGACGGGTTTGCTTGGAACCAACGCATCCAGATGGTGCACATCAGCTTTCCAAGGAGCAAATTGTCCTGTGATGAGCAGAGAGCTGCATGGTTCTGCTCTGTGAGCAGCAGCCCGAATGGTCCCTGCAGTGGGGAGAACACTTTGGGACTGAGCAATGCTTGGATTGCCTCCGGGTTCCATCCCATGGAGCAAACTGCCAGCCCTGCAGAGCAATTCTCCAACACAGGACAGTTTTCTGGGGTTTGGGCCTTTTGTTTCCTAAGGAAATGCTGCAGCTGTGGGCACAGCTGTGCATCCTCTCCATTCCCAATTGCACGCATGAGTGCGTGGCTGCTTTGGGCATCTGCAGCAGCACAGCTGAGCAAGGTGCAACCCCAATGAATGGGAGAGGTGTGTTCTGAGCAGCAGGAAGACTTCCCATCAGTGATCCAGCTTTCCTGCACACCAAAGGACCCAATGAAAGGTGACAGTGAGCTCACGTCACCTTTATTTTCCAATAGAACCCTCTGTTTCTATATGCAACGTGGGCTCCCCAACCTGGGGAGGTGTGACTGCAGCCTTTGGAAAGATGGGAGTGCCCTTCAAAAATAGAAAATCCTGTTCAAATTATCGACGGCGCTGCGTGGAGAATGAAGCCGCCTTTGGAAATAGACATTTTCTTTACAAAATAAAACAAAATATGCTTTAAAAATAAAAGGGAATCTCTTTGTTAAGGAGAGAGCGGAGCTTTCAGCCTTCATTTAGAAAAAAAGAGGGGTGGAGGGGTAAAACATCCTTGTAAAAATGATTATGTTCATAACATTTCCATGGGGACGGTGCAGAAATGTCCATCATGGGATCCTCAGCCCCGTTTCCAGCTGTTAGGAAACAGCAGTTTGGGGGCTTTGGTCCATGGGCTGATGCTCCCCAGCAGCAAACCCAATGGATTTTGCTGTCAGTTTGGGGTGCCCCTGCTAAGGCTGAAGGGTTGGGGTCCAGGCCATGCTGGGGGTCCAAAGGAAGGGGGAAGGAGGCTGCTTGTTGGGGCACCTCCCCCAACGGCTGCACCCACAGATGGAGTCTGGGCTACAGGGCACCACAGCACCGAGTTTGGGTTGGGGGTAAAGCCCAGGCAATGTTCCCTCTGCCTGCTGTGGGCTGTCCCCATAATGGTGGCCTTCAATGCGGCACGAGTCCACCTGGGATCCATGGGGATGGAGGCAATGGGGCTGCAGGGCTCTGTGCAGGGAGGAAATGGGGTGCAGTGAGGGGTTGTAGGGTCAGCCTGGGGTGCGACCTTGGGTTGGGGACACACTTGTGCATCCCAATGCTGGAGAAGCAGCAGCTCCTCCCCACCACCCCTTGGGATGGAGGAACAGCATCCACCCCAATGGGCTCCAGACAAGACAGGGAGGGCTTTGGGATGCTCTGCAACCCACTGCAATGTGTTGCCCCCCTCCTGTCCCTGTGGCTGTCACAGAGGACACCCACAGTGCATAAGAGCACAGTGACACAGTGACTTCTCCCCCCCATCACCCACCCCATCTCACACCCTCCCCCAAACTCTGGGCAGTTTGAGACACATAAATGTTTATTCTTCCAAGATCTGCTTTTTTTTTTTTTTCCTTTTTTCTTTTATACAAAATTTCCTCCCTATGCCTGCAGATGGAGCCTGGCTGCCCCCTGAGCTCAGCACCCCATCCATCCCCTTCTCCCCAGCCTAACTGTCCACAAACCCTGCTGTGACACCCAGAGCCCAAGGGGGGACAGAGGGAAGGATGAGGCTCTCAGGGTGAGGATGCTCCGCTGCATTATGAGAGGGGAAGAAGGCAAATCCAGCTGGATGCAGCATTTTGGGAGGGCTGACCCCACACCTCTGCCATCCCAGTACAACCCAAATGGGGAACTCTGGGGGTCCTTGGGGAGCTGAGCTCCAAGCAGAGGGTGACCAGGACTGGATCTGATCTCAGCTGGAGAATTGGGTGCAGCCACTGGAAGGTGGGCACCAGGTGCCACTTCCTCCAAAAGGGGACACTGGAAGACAGCCAGGGACTGTAGGGACACAGATCCTCATCAGGCCAGCAGGTTGCTGGAAAGGGCTCAAGGCACCTTGGTAAATGTCCACACACGCACACAGAGGTGTTTGTTCCCAAAATTCCCATGGAAAGAAGAGTACATAAGGTTCACATTAGCACATCTCATATGTATATAGTGCAAATCAGAGCCCCAGCACCAGAGGGTTCGCTCTCTGGTTAGTGGTTAAGATGTCCCACGGGTGCAATCCTGGGCACTGCAGGCACTCCAGCCCTTGCTCTTCCCCAGCTGCAAAGCAATGGGTGCATCATCCAATGCTTTCCAAACCCTTCTCGTGCAGAATGAGGTCACAGCCCATAGCTCTGGCACTCTTGCTCCCAACCTTGTGCCCTACAGAAAGGAAGAGGAGCACTAGGGAGGCTTTTGAGAGCCTGTCCCCCTCAAGCAAGACAGAGGGCTGCTGCTCCAAGGCACAGCTGACTGCAGAGGAGCTCTAGGTGCAGTTCTGATGGTGCGGCCACAACATCCATCCCAACACCCACCCGTTCCCCAAGCATGAGGAAGATCCCAGGAGAAGGGCAGGTCTGCACCACCAGAAGGCTGGTGGCCTCTTGCACATCCCCAAGAAAGATTTCGGGTTCTGAAGGTTGGGGACTGATTGCAGGCACAGTGTAGGATGGCAGCACCGTGCTGTGCAGAGGGAGGTTGATGTTTTCCATCTGTCCCGAGCAGGAGGCCATCTCCAGGGTGGCTGCAGGAACATCCTTCCTTGGATGCGTGGCAGCCAAAGGTCCAGCCCCTTTCAGGACTGTGACTCAGGGAGTGAGTGGCAAATGGGAAGCCAGGAGTGAAGAGCGAGCACTGGGCTCGGGAAGAGTCCAACCACGTCCTGGAAGCAGGGGAGCAGAGAACATCACCGCTCATCACTGGTTCATGGGCTCCTCCTCCTCCATAGGCTCATCTTGTGGCCTGGAGAAACACAGTACGTGTGATGAGACCTGCTCTTCCCAACACAACGCATTCTTTTCAGCACTGAGACATCACCTGGCACATCCAGCTTCTAGTCCTGCTGCCCAGGATGAGAGAGTTACAGGACCAGAGCTCGCAGTGAAGAGAATGGGCACAATACCCACCTTCCTCTCCCTAAGACCAGTTTACACCCAGCACAACCCAGAGCTCCCAGCAGCTCACTGGGCTGTGGGACACCAACCCCCTGTGACACCAAGCATCCCCCAAGGCTCAGAGCTTGGCACACAGACTGTGGGCCACCTGCACGTCCCCAGGACTGATGAAGAGCATTACCTCTTCTCCACCATCACAGCCACTGAGAGGGAGGCCAAGGCTGTGACCGTCTCCACCTCTTCTGCCTCGTGGTGCTGAGCCTCCAGGAAGGAGCAGCCCAGCTTGGAGGCAAAGCGCTGCACGGCCACCCAGTATTTACCTGCAGGGGAAGCAAAGGTCAGGAGATGCTGGGATAGGGGTGACCCAGGTGGCTTCCCATGTGAATGCATGCAAGGGGCATCATCCCCCCTCCAGGGAGGAGGAGGATGGTGGAAGGTTCCAATGTGCTTCATGCAGTATTCCCTGGGTGGTTTTCTCTAGGAAATGGCAAAATTTGGGCCATCCATGCTAAATCAGCCTCCCAGCTGTGGGACACTCACTCTGGACCTGGATCACAGCTTCCAAGGAGCGCACGGCGTTGGCATTGGGCTTCTGCCGCATGCTTTCTTCTGGCAGAGGGTCCAGCTGCCAAGGGAAGAGATGGAAGGGGTCAAAGGGAAAGAGCCGTGCCCAGGGCTGGGCTCACAGCCACAACCCAACACTTTCACCCTGCTCCCATCGCTCCCAGTGCACCCAACAGGTTCCCAACAGCCGGATTGGGAGTGCAGATTCCCCAAAGCTCCACTATGGGGACAAAGCCCCATCCCAGGGGTCCTGGCTCTCACACCTCATTGCCCAGCAAGGCTGACACGCAGGCTTCGGATGCATCGCAGATGGCTGTGAGGTCGTGGCCTCCTTCCAGTGCCAGGACGATGGCACCCCCAGCCAGGCTCATCAGCTGCTTGGTCATATAGCCAAAACCTGTCCGGGAAATCCAAGGAGCAGTCATCAGCCTCCTTTGCCCAACACAGTGGGAAAAGAGCCCCCTCAGAGCTGCCCCCCTGTGCTCCATGAGGAGCTGCCAGCTCCAGAGCCCAGTCGGGCAATGGGAAGAGCTCACGGTGCTGCTTGCATCTCCTTACATTTAGCAGAGACTTTGTAGCCACCCAGGGGTGGTGGGTGGCCATCAGCTGCATCGAAGCCAGCTGATACCAGCACCACGTCAGGGGAGAATTCATGTGCGATTGGCATCACCACTGTCCTGTCAGGGTGAAAAAGAACAAGTAGTAAGAGGTGTTAAGAGCTGGCTTGGCCTGAAGATGGGGAAAATGCAAAGGAATGCAGAAAGCAGTACCTGAAAGCCGCCAGATACTCAGGGTCACCCATGGGGGGGTCAAGGCCTCCAGTCCAGGCTATGTTGACATTAAATCCCTCACCAGGGCCAGCACCAACCTGGGGGAGAGCAAGGATGATGGTGAAGGGCTGGATGTGGCCCGCAGGGATTCATTCTCCACCCATGCAAAGGTCAGACCCCCTCTCCATCCTCATAACCATCAGCAAGGGGTCTTGGTGCTTCACCATATCCTACACTCTGGGAATAGGAGACCCCAAGTCTGCATGAAGGCAAAGCAATGGAGATCAGCTTCCATGGAGACCCTCTGCCTGGTGCTGGCAGGGCTGGATACCCCCTCGGGGTCTCTCACTTACAGGACAGCCCCAGCACTGAACCAAGGGGTTGTCCCAGAGCAGAGCTGCATAGATTTTGGGGTCTGTCTGTGCTTTTTTACCTCATCAGCAGCTCCGCTGCCAGGGAAGAAGTTTCCATCGTCGTGACGATGCAAAGAGATGTAGAGAACATCGGGGTCTCTGTAGAAGATCTGCTGGGTCCCGTTGCCATGGTGAACATCCTACAGGGAGAGAAAGATGGTGTGAGGGCTCCTTTTCGCAGACTTGAAGCTGCCCTGCAGCCCAATGGAGCTAAAAGCACCTCGGTCTCTGCCCTGCTTCACAATCCCCTGTCTCAGATCTGGCCCCATTCCCCCATCAGGGAGATCCCAGCCACATTCCTGCAGCCAGACCCCAAGGCAGATTCTCTACTCTCAGGTCTAACCCCAAATCAGAGCTGGGATGTCCTGGGGAGGCACCAGAAGCTGCTGGGTGACAGGAGCGACTTACCCAGTCCACAATGAGGATCTTGTTGAGTTTCCCTTTCTGCTGCAGCTGCCTGGCGGCAATGGCCACCGAGTTGAAGAAGCAGAACCCCCTGCAAAGAAAGAGGTGGAACTGGTCAGCACCATGACCCCCTGAGCATCCTTCCCACACCAAAGGATGGGTTCTGCCTCCCCTCCCCCCTTGGTCTGGGTACAGAAGGGTCCTGGGGCTGTTAATAGGGCACAATTAGTGTTATCACCCCCTGGGGGACCCTGTGTCAACCTGGATTTTGGGGCTTCCCCTACACCACCCCTTTGGGAAGGGGGTCTTACATGGCAGTGGATGGATCTGCGTGATGCCCGGGCGGCCGCACCACAGCAAAACCATTCTGGGGACAAAAAAAAAAATAAACAAACCATGATGAGATCATCACTGCTGCCTCCAAAATCACACCCCAGCAAGCCACTCCTGTTGCAGGGACAATCAGTGCCACAATGGTGGGACCTCCAGGTTCCCTCCACCCATCTCCCTACCTTCAGCTCCCTGCTGGCCACTTTGAAAGCCAACTCGGTGACGCTGCCTGCAGCCCAGCGGGCTGCGTTGGAGGAATGCAGCTCATTCCAGATGGTATCACTGTCCACCTGCAAGCAAAGGAACAGTCAGACAGGGATGGGGATAAGGCACCTGAGCTGGGAAGCCACGCTCTTTGCCAGTCACCCTGCTCAGAGGATGAAGTCTGGGCCACCCTGCACACATGGGGCAAGCTCCTCAGCTCCACGGTGGCCACTTGGGGACAGCAGTCAGGATAACAGCTCCTCACCCTGTTCCCCAGGAAAGCTCTGCACGTGGAGCAACTCACCCAGGGGCTAGAAGGAGTGACTGAGAAAACGCTCGTTACCTTCTTTATCTTATTTTATTGTTTAACCAAACATCTTGGTTTGATCAGGATCGCGTCAAGGGCTGAGCCAGAGCCGGAAAACTCAAGTCTCTTCTGATCAACTCCATGTGTGCAACTCAAATTCTCCCCTCTGCCCCTCGAGGGGGCAGCGAGAGGAGGGCAGGGGGGGAGGCAGAGCAGGGAAAGTGGATGTAAACGAGGCTGAGAAGAGCTGGTGCCCAGCAGCGGGGGCAAGGAGAGGAGAAGAACCAGAAGAGGCAGCAGGAAGGCATGGGGTGAGACCCTTCCTGAAAGAGAGAGAGAGAAAAAAAGGACAGAGACGGGGAGAGAGGAAGAGAGGAGAATGCAATGAATGGAGAGAAAACCAGGGCAGCAAGCTCTGAGAGGAGAGGCCACAGAAGTGTCAGGAGAGAAGTGGAAAGCTGATGCCCCCATGCCACTGTCCATGCCCCTTGGTGGAAGCCCACACTGCACCCTGGCCATCCCACTGGGACATGGGACACACAGCTGGGTCCCATCTGTCCCACAAATCCGCTCCCTCCTAAAGCCCTTGGCTCTCAGATGAGGCTGCAAGGGGTTTGTGGTAGGCAGGGTTCCCTGGGGGAAGGGTCTGCAAAGGGCCTGATTCAAGATGCTCCCAAGGATAGTGGGAAGCTATGCTACAACGATATCCTTGCTCCCATTTGAGGGAGGCTGGGACATTTTCCTGTGTCCACACGCAGGCTGCTGTTGCTTGGGCTGAATCCATTCTCCCTACAGAGAGGTCGTAGACCAGCTTCTACCCCAGTCACCTCAAGGCTCTGAGCTCCATCAGGACACCCCACAGACACACAGGGCTGGGGGCTGAGAGCAGCCCGATGGCTTTGGGAGTTCCCTCCCCACTCAGGCCCACGAGAGAGTCCCCAGAAATGAACAACCCCATCCAAAAACACCCCGAGCAAAGGAGGAGGACTTACCCCCACCCCTCCACAGGGCAGCATGACGAACATCCGCTGTGACAGAATCCCTGCAAGGAGGAAAAAAGGTGGATTCCGAGCCATAGAGCCAGGGAACAGTGTGAGACAAGGGCAAGCAGCACAGGGCAAGAAGTGGGTGCAGATGGGGGCTCACCTGCCAGCTTCCCATTGTCCAGTTTCAGGCGGTTGAGGGGATTGGTGCCATAGAGGAAGACGTGGCGTTCGGTGTGGACACACTGCAGCTCCTCCAGGGTGGCCTTCCGTCCCCGCAGGCACTGCAGGGCACAGGGGCTGTGACTGAGCCACTCTGGGATGGGACACGTGTTCCCCTCCCATGGACAGGCTGGAAATGCCAGCACCCTCTATGGCCCAAAGTCAGTCCTTGTTAGATCAGGGCAAGTCTTCTAACAGATGAGAGCTGACACCGGTGTCCCCCAAGCTGGCAAAACACCTCATTGCTATCTCAGCAGGGTTTGGACCCATCTTCCAGCACAGCAAACTCATGGGCACGGTCACACCAGTGTCAGCAACAGGCAAATGCAAGCCCCCTCCCTAAGACCTATTGCTGTTTGGATAAACAGGCTGGGAAGATCTGGGGACAAAAGGAGTGGAGGTGAGAGCAGGACACCCTCTCACCTCTTTATAGCACAAGATCTGCTCGTAGCAGCATCCCCTCCCCTCCTCCTCACCTCGCACTGGCTGCGCAGACCCCTCTCCTGCAGTCGGGACCAGATGCTCTGAATCCTACCCGCGTGCTCTGGGTGGTTGCTGTTGTCACCACAGGAGCACTGGTGTTTGAGCATCACCGAGTCGTAAACCAGTCCTGCAACAACATCCAAGAAGAGCTGTCATCCTGAGACTGGACCTGGATGCCCAGATCTCAGTGCTGCCAACCCTAATTGCTGCCCCCCCTTTCTAGGGTTTGAGGCTGGGACCTAAAACACTCTTAATTATTCGGTTTGACTGAAAACATCTTTATCAAAACCACATGAACCTCCACCCTAAGGCTTTTGATGCACATGCTGTCCTGCGTGCCTAAGAAGCTAAACCAATCCCTTGAAACAAGCAGGAAAGCAGCTGTGGGGCCAGAAGGGCAAATTCTGCTTGGAAAATGCACCTTTAGGTAAGGAGAAGGGAACTGTCATGCCTTCCTCAGCCAGTCAGAGTGCTCCCAGGAATTCAGGAGAGATTGGGAGTGACGTTCAACTGCCCCTGAGCACCCCCCACCAGGGGCAGTGTGCTACCTGTTGTGAAATGGGGCTTGCTGGTCTGCTCCTGCACCGGCAGGGAGAGAGCCTTGGAGGTCGTATCCTGAGCAGGGAGGGAGACAGTCGCGGTGGCAGGAGATGACTGGGCTCTGGAGAGAGGTCTGTGCCCTGCGAGGATGGTTGGGACCATGGGGGAGTCAGCCAGGGGCTGCCGTTTGAGGAGCTGGTGCTGCACACGCTGGTAGGGGTCCCAGAGATAGGCCTGATGGAGAGAGGTGGCAGTAAGCATGACATCACCCAGCATCGGGTGACAAGCAGCCTTCTAGGAAGGAGAATGTCTCTGGAGCATTTGGATGTGACAGCTCTCTCCGTGCCGGAGGACTTGGAGCTGCTCCATAGGAGCTGGCATGTATTAGGCAGCATCTGCTGCTCTCTGCTGGCTCAGCCCTGCAGTGCTGGGCAGCCCCGATGCAAGGTGCAACGGTATGGGGATGATGCCAGCACTTTGGGGATGATGCCCAGTTTTGCTGGCACCAGAGGTGGCTTCTGATCACATCCCTGTCCTAGCAAACCGCCCCTGGATTGAGGAAGGGAAAGATGGGGTGCCTGCATCCCCACCCACACAGCAGTTCTTTACAGAGCTCTCTGGGTCTGAGCTGAACTTTCCCACGGCCAGGGCACTGCTGGGTTTGTGCAAAGTTTCACATGGCACCAAAACGTAGAAAAGAAATGCAAGAATGGGGGAGGAGAATTCCATTCCTTACAGCCCCATCCCTGCCATTCCTCGCTCACCTGCTGGAGGATGAGCTCCTCCTGAGGCTGCAGCATCTTCTGAGGCCTCTCAGGTTCCTTCCCGCTGCTCCCTGGCCGTGCAGGCTCCACGCATGCCCTCACCTGCTCACTGCTCTCAGCCCCAGCCTCCATCCCCTCTGCCTCCATGTCCTCTGAGGAGGGGATCTGCCGCAGCCGGGGCTTCTCGCTGGTTTTCACCATGCGCTGCAAACAAGTGAACACACAGAGGTGATGGGGACAGGGCAGGCTGAGGAGGTTTGGGGGTAGCAAGGCACCCCAGAGCCCAAGAATGATGGACACGGGAGCCCCACAGCTCACTGCGAGGCAGCAGCACGCAGGCTTGGCCCTGGGTTATCAGCTAATTGCTGCCCTGCAGAAAAAGGCTGCGATCCTGCATCCTGCCAGCATCCTTCCCCCACTGCCTCCTGCACCAAGCTCTGTGCTTACCTTGCCCAGGTGAGTCTGCTGCTTGAGCCTCTCCAGGAACTGGGCATGGTGCTGCTGGTACACCAGCTGCTGCTGGATGGCTTTGGGGTTCTGGGGCAGGGGCTCTGAGCGGGTCCTGCCCAGTGGTTTGTGGTGGCCTGGGAGCGACAGGCGCTCTGCAGAGATGAGCGATGGGGCGAAGGAGAAGGGGACTGTCCCCAGACCTGGCACTGCAGGGGAAAGGAAGGAGAGACGAGGTGTTTCTTTATCTATTGGGCAGACACCAAGATCAATGTCTTCCGTCTCCTCAGCCGCAGCTTGTGGAAGAGAAAGGGGAAAGCAAAAGGCTGCCTGCCCCAAGGGAAGCTCAGTGCTATGCCTTGAATGCTGCTGGCCCCACTGCCTGCCCCAAGCTCAGCACTTACCTGCCACAAGTGGAGCGTGGGTGACTGAGGGCTCGAGAATGATGACAGGCTGGAGCCGAGGGGACAAAGGGCTCCCAGCCTCGTGCTGTTCCAAGCCAGCTGGGATGAACATGGGAGAGTGTGTGCCCGTGAGGACAGGTCCGTTCAGCACAGGCACTCGGTGTGCCAGGCCAGAGAGAGGGCGACGATCTGCATCTCCCTGCAGAGAGATAGGCTGGATTAATAATGGGACACAGCACGGAGAAGGGATGGCACGTCCTCCCCATAGCCACAGGCAGCCTCAGACTACTCAGAGCCACTGGCACCCACCCAACAATCTCAAGATCCTCCTCCCCCTTTCCCCCTTCTGCCTTGCAGGAACCCTCTGCCCAGATCTGGGGAGTTGCTACAACCAGGTCACCTACCCTGGTACTACTGGTGGCTGGCAATCCCAGCGTGATGGCAGGTAGGGAGACTGCATTCTGCAGGGCAAACTGGGCCAGGGAGCTCTCCTGCATCATCAGGCGCTGGGCCAGGGGTGCCTGCACCAAACACGATCCATCAGTCTCCTGCTCTGCGAATTGCAGAGCTCAGCATGGGACAAGCAGCTTAGGACAGGCAGCTGAAGTCCCAGCTGTCTGTGAGAAAACCCAGGGCCAGGGGCACCAAGGACCCATATGGAGACAGCACATGCACTAGGAAAGCACTAGGGTATGCTGCAGAGGAGGGCAGCATGTCACCACACTGGGCAGAGGGTCCCACCACGCAGGAACTTAGCTGGGCTAAGGGCAGCTCAGTGCAAAACTGGGGTCCCCAGGGAGGATGCTAGCTTATCTTGAGCCCGGGGTGGCAGTGAGAGAGCAAAGCTGAGGAGCTCACCTCGTGGGCCATGCTGGAGGCAGTGGGAAGAGCTCCGTGCTCAGCAGGGAGGCTGTCATTGGGAGAGCTGCAGCCGGACACAGGGGTGCTGCTACTGCTGGGGGAGGAATCTGTGAGCAAAGAGAAAGGGAAAAATGAACACCCAAACCCAGAGAGGGCTACACAGCCCTGCACCAACCCTGCAAAGCTCTCCCTCCTTCCAACAATTCTCAGTTTGCCTGCTAGAGGTAAAACTCTCCTTGGTGAGGTGGCAAGCTGGAGATGCAGTCAGCCATGGAGGAAGCCTAGCCAGCTGTGCTTGCTCAGGACCTTGCATGCTTCCAGCCTTATACACCCATCAAGGGCCCAAAAATCAGCACGATACAGCTGCAGCAGTAGCCTTCCCCACCTCACCCACCCCCTGTCCCATCACAGCACAGAGCTTGCTCTCACAGGCTGTGCCCCACAGAGGGCATCAATAATCGCCAAGCCTCTGACATTAATTCACGAGACATCAATTTCTCCCTTGGAGCCCCACAGCAGGCATTATACACAACCCCAGGCTGCTCCAGCCCCCTCTGAACTCCCAGGCTCCCCCCACAAAGGCAAAGCCCTCACCAATGGTCTCAGGTGGTCTCCTTTTCAGAGAGGGGGGAGCACTCTCCTTCCGTGTCAGGGGGTTCTTGCGGCGGTCCAGGCACTTCCTGGGCTTGCAACGCACCTTCAGGTTGGGCTCAGATGCTGTGAGGGGGATAAGGCAGTCAGTCCCAGCCCCACCATGGGTAAGGGCAAAGCTGGACTGACTTTGGTGGGGTTATTTCTCGGCTCCAGCCATCCCCTGGGTGTGAGCTCAATGGCATCACAGCAGGAGTGAGATGGTGTTGGCCCCCAGCCTCACCTGTCTTCCGCAGTGGAAAATGCTCTGGGGGATCAAGAGAAGTGCTAGGGACCGGGGACAGGAAGGTGCTGAGTACAGGAGGGGAAGGACCTTCAGGATCCAAAGGTTCCAGAGACCTATGGGGAAAAGCTTCATCAGAGATTCTTCCCTCTTTGCTGAGATGATCAGCAATGCCTTGACTCATCCAAACCCACCATCAAAATGTTTGCGGGGTTTTGAGCAGCCGCCCTGCGCTGGGTGGGTCAGATTATCCAGGGTGCTTTTGTTTTACCTGTATGGCATGGCTGGAGGGTTGGGGTTGCTGGTTCTTTCCAAAGCTGCTGCCTGCTGCTTCTTCAGGATGACCTCAGCCAGTTTCTGCTTCACCACCGTGCTGGCAACAGCACCTGCAGGTGTTACATGTCGATGATTTCCAACTGATGCGGCTCTGCCTATCCTGCATCTCAGCAGGAAAAATATCAGCATCCTGAGAGAGCTCAGACTCAAAGGGCAGGTGGGCAGCAGGCTCGTGGAAACAGGGAACAGCTGCACTCGAATCTCTGAAGGGCTCTGCACCTCCAAAAGCTCGGCGAGCTCCTAATGCAGCAGGCACTAGATGGCGCAGGGAGATCGCAGCAACAGGTTTGCTCTCCTGCATGGTGCAAACCTTCCTGCCCAGCACTCAGCACCCCCCCGACAACTCCTGTGCTCCAGGCTTGGGGTCTGCCAGCTCTGGAAGGCAATTTGTGCCTTGCTCTGTGCATGGGGCAGCACAAGCACCGCTGGTTTGGGCTGCAGCACTGCAGTGGCTGTTGGGCATAGAGTAACACCAAAGCAGGGATCTATTGCAACCACTTGGCTGGTATCAATAAGGACACAAAGGATAAATCCTGGCCAGGGAGTCCCAGGATGCAGCTGCTGGGTGCAGCTCTGGATCCAGGCTTCCCCACACTCTTTTCATAAAGCTCTTTGATGCTCAGGACAGAGATGCTCAGACCGAGAGCATGCAGAGCATGGCCTGGGTAAGAGCAGCACTGCCTGCTGTGCCCCTGCTAGAAGCTGCTTTACCCTCACTCCCCATGAACTTGGTCCCCCTGATTTTGGGGAATTGCCTCCTCAGGAGGAGATGCCACATGTCAGAAAACGCTGAGGCTCTTACTTCGTTTGCTCTTGTCCTTATTGAGGATCTGCCGCAGCTCCTGCTCCTGCTGCCCAGGCTCTGCCTCACGGTGCGAGGTCTCCATGGTCACCTGAGAGAGGAGAGGGCACTGTCAGCACCAGGAGACTCGAAACACTGTGCCACGGGGATGGAGCAGCTCTGCAATAGGCTGTTACAGCATTTCTGGAAACCCAGTGGGCTGACAAGGACATGTTAAGTTGTTTCATTGCTGCAAACTGGGAGCATCTTCGTCTCCAGAGATGCTCGGTCCAGAGGAGGCCGTAAGGATGCTCAGAGGCTGGAGCATCTCTGTTATGGGGAAAGGCTGAGGGAACTGGGAAGGTTCAGCCCTGAAAAGGCTCTGGGGAGAACTCAATGCAGCCTTCCAGTGCTTAAAAGGAGCTTACAAATAGAAGGGAGAGCGACAGGACAAGATGGGGAGGAACAGCTTAAACTTCAAGAGGAGAGACATAGGTGAGATGGGAAGAGGAAATTCTTAGCTCAGGGGGCAGTGAAGCCCTGGCACTGCTGCCCAAAGAACTTTGGGTGTCCCATCCCTGGAGATGCTCACAGCCATGGCTGGAGCCCCGGGCAGCTGATGGAAGAGTGGGAGCAGCCCAGGGCTGGGGGAACTTTGGGGTGCCTTCCAACCCAACCATTCTATAGTTCTGTGATGATGAAAGGACCTTTCCAACCCAAGCCATCCTACGGTTCTATGATTCTACACCTGCAGACACACGCAGCACCACGAGCCGCACGCTCTACAGGGGGAAAAAGTAATTGTTTTAGAAGAACCCATACCCTGACGTGCTGGTGGGCGAGCTGCTCCACTTGCTGCTGGTGCAGGCTGGCGAGGAAGAGCTGGTGCTGCAGCTGCTGCGTGTGCTTCAGAGCCAGCAAAGCCGTGTCGGAGCCGGGCTTGACAACACGCTGCCCAATGCGCAGGTCCATGGGGACGGCCTGGGGCACCCGTGGCGAGGTGCACGGGGTCACAGCAGCTGTTGGGACACAAAGCAAGGCGCAGCTGTGTGAGGAGAAGCACACAGAGGGGTCCTCCTGTGCCTCCCAGCTTTGGGATGGGGATGAGGATATCCCGACGTGCAGGAGGGCACCGCGAGGAATGTGTGCTGCTGTTGAGAAGGGCTTGCCACATCCCATCTGCTGCCTGTGAGAGCCTCCTCCGTCATCCAGGCAGAAATCCTGTATGCTATACACCCTTGGAGTGCCTCCAAAGTGCTGCAGGCAGCTCGCCCTGACACCACAGTGTTGCAAACTGCAGGCACTCCCATCTTGCACAGGGAACCCCTTCAAATTCCCAAGACCACCTCGGCAAACCCTCGCTAGGGACAGACTAAAGCACCCACTTGCAGCAGGAGACCTTTGCCACAAAGCTCCCGAAGCCTTGCTGCACTCACCCCGCAGCGTGGCACTGCTGCAATGCTGCTACGAAAATCCTACAACCTGCAATATTGATCTGGAAGCTCAGACTCTAAGCAGCAATGCCAGCTCTGCAGACCTCAGTGAAGGTTGGATGGAGCCATTTGCAGGAGCAGAGCTGGAGGGAACAGTCTTGCAAGCCAGACATTGCTTGCCCCCCCAACAACCATCCCATTGCCACCCCCACAGCAGCCACATCCAGCACAGGTTGCTGGGGATGCTCTATGCAGCACAGCACGTGCAGGTGGAAAGGGGATGAGCAAGCACAACAGTGACTTATGGATGCAAACACAGCCCCAGTGGACTTTATGGCATCCCAAAAAACATGCAGCCAAGGCAGCTCCACGCTTCAGGCACTGCAGCATAGGAATGAGAGAAGCTGGAAGCAAGCAGGTGGGCAGGAAATCCAGAATTGAAAGACACTGCACAGGAATGCATTTGCAGGGATAAAGCCACCGCAGCCTGAGAACTAATTGTTTTCCTTAAGTAGTGAAGCAGCTCAAATTAAAAATAAAAAAAATTAAAAAAAAAATGCAAATGTTATTTTTACAGGCAAAGAACCACACCCTGCGCTGTGCACATCTCAGCCTCAACAGCATCAGGGAGCTTGTGCTGACAACTGCAATACTGCAGGAGAAATCTCTGCGGGCTTCAGCCCCGTCATGCAGCGATGCAACGGGGAAACCCAGCACAGCCCCAACACTGCCAGGAAGGGAAAAATGCCCCTGATCCATAGGGCAAACATTTCCCACCGCAGCAAAACCCCCACATCCACCTTCCCAGATTTAACCTGTAGGAGGTGATGCTCCCAGCCCCATGGCAGAGTCTGACCTGGTTCTCTTCATCTCTTTGATAACCGCCTGGGATTTCATTTGTCTCTGGCTAATTAGTTGTAATTGCTACAGCCCGGGTGATAGGAGGCTGTGGGAGATAACAGCTGGAAGGTGAATGCTGCTGAGCTCCCATGCCCAGGGGCTGGAGGGGGTTTGCTGTGACCCCCAGCCCATAGGCTGCACAAACACTAAGACTGAGATGCATTTGATGAACCAACACAAATTACCCCGAGCCAGAAGACCCCTCCCCTCCGCTCTCAGCCTTTTGCTTCACCCTTCCAGTTCCAAAAACGCTGACATCCTTCACAGTGCTGACAGCTCATCCTCTGCTGCCCGAGCGGCTGCAGAGCTCCAGCCATCTCCCAGCTCCAGCCATCCCTGCATTCCTGCTAAACATCAGCGATTCTGAAGGATGGGAGCGATAAGGGCTGCCTCCTCCCTGCTCCTCGTGGTTTCCCATCACCCAGTGAGGAGGAGGATGCTCGGTGGGAGGAAGGCTGCAGCACTCTCCCAACGCACCGTGGCTGCACAAAGATGGGCTGTGATGAGCAAACCTCAGGGTGGGAGATGGGGAACTTGTAACAGCACCCACCCACATCCCTACAGAGGGATGCTCACCCCATCCATCCGGACCATCCTGCTGCACGCCACCAAGGCGCAGGAGTTGGGATCAGCATTCATGCAACTCGGTGTAGAGCTTGAGTACAACAGCAGCCAGTTACTGCTAAGAGATGCTTGCATTGTCCACCTCCAAAATAATTCTTTTCAGGGAAACAGGGCCCTGATTTCCCTCGAGAATCTGTGTGCCACAGTAGTGAAGTCAGCAAGCGGGAGACCACTCATTAAAGCACTCAACTTTCCCATACAAATTCCTCTGCCCTGCTTTTATGCTGCCTATGCAAAAAGCCACGTTAACAGATGGCAAGTCAGCACACTAACAAAGGATTTGGTAAAGCTCCCTTCGTTTCCCTCTGCTGGAGATTTATTCTCCAGCGTCGCGGCGTTGTTTGCAACAACACATTTCAGGCATCAGCAAAAAAATCACACGACTTACTCCAAATATAATTGCTTGGCTCTGAGATACAGAGAGCTGCGTGTGTGCAGGAACACCCTGAGGATGGGGAGGACCAGAGCAGCCCAGCAAGCTGCAGCCTCCATTCCCACAGCTGGTAGCATCCAGGGGTGCTCAGAGATAAGTCGCAGCCTCCCTCCACGCATGATGCTCCAAACACCAGGAGGGAGCTCCATGCACAGCCCCATTCTCACCCCTCCAACCCATCAGCTGCCGACCCAGGGCAAGAAAAGGGGCGGTTTTGTTTGAGCCTTTTTAAAAACAAACTCCAAAGCAGCACAAAGGAAGGAGCGGGAGGGAGGCCGTGAGGGCCAGCAGCCAGAAAAACAACTCCTCACTGCGTGCCCCAAGCCAGGAAAAAGGCAGTCGAGCATCCCTGCAGCCAAGAGGCACCAGCACTGCTCCGCACACCGAGTGCCAGGGCACAGCTGCTTCCCAGCCTCACCCCCTGGGACCCACAGCACCCTAAGGGCTGCCACCCACCCCCCTCCTGCAGCTCCGGGTGCCCCCACGCAGCCTCTTTTCCTTCCCTTGGGGCTGCTGGGTTCAGCCATCAGCTCCCTCCGTGGCTCGAATTCACACGGGGGTTTGCAGCTGGGATGTGAGCCAAGAACTACAGCGCACAGCTCCTCTCCGGAGCTCCGCATGACGGAGGCAGGCGGCCAGCAGCGCGCTCCTCCTCTTCCCTTCGCCCCAAGGAAGGGCCCTGCAGCCAAACCCAGCACACTGCCAGGGCTCCCAGGGAGCTGCTCCCATCCTCGCATCCTCCTGGGGATCCCTGCAAGCCCCCAGCATCACAATGACACAGAAAACCCCATAGAGGGGATGAAACCCCAAATCCACTGCAGAGCCATCGCGTTAGGGCAGAGCCGACATCCCACTCCCAGAGAAGAGGAGGATTCGGGGCCAGGCTCCTATGTTGGCTGCCAACATTTTTTTGGGTTTTTTTTTTTATGGATTATTTTTAGTTTGTCAGAACATTCGCATGGGAAGGCCGGCGCTCAGCGCATCACCCTGCCACCAAAACCTGACTGCGAGGACACGACGCTCCCCCTGCACAAAACCACGGCACGGATAGCCCAGGAGGGTCCTTGGGGTGCAATGCAAGCACAGCACGGCTCATGCAATAGGGCTGAAGGCTCTGCCTCACCCCTGTTGGCATCCCTGCTGCTGTCACATCGCCAGGGTTGTTTTTCTGGGTCATTGGGTGCAGGCAGGTGGCAGGGAGGAAAGCGTTGCTCCGCCAGCGCGCCTGGAGGAAGCCGAGGAGGCGAAAGCAGTGGGGCCCCGTGTGGAGGCGATGGCCCAGGGCGACCGAAGCCATTGCACAAACCTTCCCCCACCTGTGCAGGTCACACTGCAGCTCCACCCTTCCCTCCATGGAAAGGGGAGATTGCAACAGGCCCTGGGAAAGCTGCAGGGCGAGCGTGAACGTGGCTCCGTGCGGGTTACAGGCATTTTCCAGGCTGCTCCTGCTGCTTTTTTTTTTTTTTTTTCTCTTCCTGCAGTAAAGCTTTCTCTGCTCTCTCCTCCTCGGGGTGATGCCTGCTGCAAGCGCCCACAGAGCGCTGGATTTAGGGCTTCTCCCACCTTGCCACACTCTTTGTGCACGGGGTGGCAGCCAGCTGCAGTGGCTGAGCGCATTGCTGCAGCGTTGGTGCAGCTCGCTCTCTGCTGGGTAACCACACTGCTGCACACAGAATGGCCCAGGTTGAAGTCCCTTCCAAGGATGATCAATCTCCAACCCCCCTGCCACATGCATGGCTGCCAATCTTCCCGTTTAATACCAGCCCAGGTTGCCAAGGGCTCCATCCAACCTGGCCTTGAACACCTCCAGGGATGGACAGAGCATCCACAGCCTCTCTGGGCAGCTGTTCCAGCATCTCACCACTCTCATAGTAAAGAAAAGATGGACGGAGCCACCCCCAGCGGAAAGAAAAAGCAACGAGAAATCTTTGCTTTGCTATTCCCTGCTTTTTAACCAGGCACGAGCAGCAGTCAGCAAAGAGCTGCACTTATATAAAGGGGAAATAAAGGCAGAAGCAAATGGTGCAAATGCACGGAGCAAAGCAAGCTGTGGGTCTTTGCAGCCCTTCACCTCCAGGTTCTGCAGCACTGCCACGCACCAGGCAGCCCTCACACAGCCCACTGAGCTGCAGCTAAATGCACTTCTTGAAAACCCTTTCCCATCTTCTGCTGATTAGCTGTGAAAGGTTCAGAGTTCAGCCGGGTTGAAAAACGCATGTGATTAAAAACATTCCTCTGAAATAAAAGGAAAAGGTCTTCTCCAGAGCCACGCACAAGCAACAACAACAAAAAACCAGCCGGAGGGGATTTGTTCAAATTAAAAACACTTAAATAAGAAACCACACACACACACACAAAAAAAAAAATGATTATGTTGAAATAACATTAAGATCACAAAGCTGGGACCGGAGCAAAAGGAAATCCCAGAGCTGGGGTACCTCACATAACCTCCCTGCAGCCCCTGGGGCGCACGCATTCAGCTTGGTGGCTTTAATTACGGGGCTGAGCACCGTGCTCCCCACAAAGATGGGAAAAGCATCATCGCCCCGTTATCCTCACCCCGCTTACAGAGGGGAGGGATGTGGCACGTGGGTGCTGCAGCCCCATGGAGATGCTCCACGTGTCCCTC